TGGTAAACTGACGCATGCATTTACAGCCTGAATTGCAGTGATTTTTCTCTCTTTCTCTGTCTCTGTATCTGTCTGTCTGTGTGTGTGTGTGTCTGACTGTCTCTGTCTCTCTGTGTGTGTCTCTCTCTTTGTCTCTCTACCTGTTTCTGTGTGTGTGTGTCTCTATCTGTGTGTGTGTCTCTACCTGTGTGTGTGTCTATCTGTCTGTGTGTGTGTGTCTATCTGTGTGTGTGTGTGTGTCTCTATCTCTGTGTGTGTGTATCTATCTCTGTGTGTGTGTGTGTGTCTTTACCTGTGTGTGTGTGTCTATCTGTCTGTGTGTGTGTCTGTCTGTGTGTGTGTCTCTATCTGTGTGTGTGTATCTATCTGTGTGTGTGTGTCTCTATGTGTGTGTCTCTATCTGTGTGTGTGTGTCTCTATGTGTGTATCTCTATGTGTGTGTCTCTATCTGTGTGTGTGTGCCTCTATCTGTCTATGTGTGTGTGTGTGTCTCTATGTGTGTGTCTCTATGTGTGTGTCTCTATCTGTGTGTGTGTGTCTCTATCTGTCTATGTGTGTGTGTCTCTATGTGTGTGTCTCTATGTGTGTGTCTCTATCTGTGTGTGTGTGTCTCTATCTGTCTATGTGTGTGTGTCTCTATCTGTGTGTGTGTCTCTATCTGTCTATGTGTGTGTGTCTCTATGTGTGTGTCTCTATGTGTGTGTCTCTATCTGTGTGTGTGTGTCTCTATCTGTGTGTGTGTGTCTCTATCTGTCTGTGTGTGTCTGTCTGTCTCCTATAACACTGGGTTTGTCAAATTAGTGCCATCTCACCATTGCAAATAGCTAAATGTGATGGCACATACCTTCATGTGTTATTTTTTATATCTGTGTGTGTGTGTGTGTTTGTGTGTATATATATTTACGTGTCGTTAAATTTGGAAACGAGCTGCTTTTATCTGTCGTCGATTTATGAGCATCACTTATCTATTATTATTATTATTATTATTATTATTATCATCATCATCATCATCATCATCTAGCAGAAAACCCCAATATACACACACACAGTTGGGGTTTAGAGAGAGAATAAGAGAGAGAGAGAGACATTTAAGCAGTGTTTTGTGTGTGTGTGTGATGCTATCTGTGCAACAGTCCTTAAAACACAAGTGGCGTTGTCTGGTGCAAGGTTTAGGAATTATTTCATTGATACCCATACATTTTTTTTTGGAGGGGTGGAGTGGGGGGATCTCAAAACGAAATGATGGGAACTAAAGGTGGTGTTGGTTTAAAAATCAGGGTGACAAGATTGGGTGGATTTCTGAAGCATTTCCATATTGAATTCCTCCTCTCCCCTCTCTCTCGCTCTGTGTCCTGTTATTTGACCAGAACAGTTCTCACAGGGTGATGGTATGGGAATTTATTTATCTCACTGTTCATATGAGAGCGAAGAAAAGATGCGTACGGAGAGCTTGTCAGGTTATTTTTCTTGCAATTACAGTCAATCCTGGACGTCAGCTGCAAATATAAATTAGAAACAGGCCGGACAGAGAGAGAGAAATGGTGTTATTTTTTTTAAAAAAAAATTATTTAATACAAAAAAAAACCTGGCAAGAACTTGAACGCTAAATAGTTCGGGGGTGGTGAGGGGTCAGGGTGTGCAATGTCTTTTTATTAGACAGCCAAGGTGAGTTTCTAAACGGGATTGAAGGCTCCAAAGGGTGTCAGCTTAGCAGTTGAGTGGTTTTTATTTCAATGTCATGAAGTGCGGTGTGTTGTCAATAGCAAATGGTTTGTATGTAAGCTGCAAATGTTATGCTGGTAAGATCCTTCCCCCCTATTTTACGGTGTACAATCCGACTGGCACCGCTTTACAGATTTATTGCATTGGGTAAATAAGTCTATGACCTTTGTTTGTCACAGCCAACTCCTTGGAATTATTAACCAACCTGTGTGTGTGCGCGTGTGTTTTTTTTCACATCGCTTTTATTACGCTAGTCTACTATTCCAAAGAGAAACCAATAAATATACTGCTTTGATGGAGATTCTCGTTTAATTCTAGGTTCCTGAGCTTTATATATCCAGGGAGGGGGTGACCAAAAAGTCCTGATACCCTTTCAAATAAGTCTTAAATCAATGATTGACATTTTTGTGCTTTTTTAAAAAAAAACCATGATAATAGGGTAGATATCATGACTTTTTGGTCACCCTTTGTGTGTGCGTGTGTATATATATATAGATATACATATTATATTTTATATATTCCAAAATTCAACCCATTTGAATGTTGGCATTTTTAAATATTTCATTGGGTTAAAATGAAAAAAAAAACACACATGATTTAAAATAAATGTTTTTTTTTTAAAAAAAAGGGGAAAAAAATAGCGTTCAAGTAGCAGCAGATGGTTGAAATCGAGCCGAAATCCTGGGGGCGAGGTGATGGTAGAGACAGAGACAGAGAGAGAAAGAGAGGGAGATTGAGGGGTGGGGGGGGGAGACACCTGTGCGGATGTGTGTGTCTGTGTGTATGTGTATCTGTGTGTGTGTGTGTGTGTGTGTTTAAAGCACCTTCCAGATAATAACACCTAGAGGCACAACCCTGGGAAGCATACCGAGGATTTGCTGGCGGTCGAGAGGGAGAGAGAAAAAAAAAGGGTGGTGGGGGGCGGGGGGAGAGAGACAGAGAGGGAAAGGCAAGCGTTAATTACACACTGAGATGCAGTGCGGGGAAGGGAATAGATGTTTTGCGGGATGTGCGCGATTCTTGAAAAGAAAAGAAACCCGTCCAGGTGTCCACTGCCCCCACCTAATACCCCGCACCTGCCTGCTTGATGGCATCTTGAGGAGGCAGAGCTGAGTGAGTGAGTGAGTGAGTGAGTGCTGAGGATGGGCGAGGGCTCTCTCCAATTTGCTTCTCTATCTAACCGTTGCTTTCTTACCTTGTAAGTGCTGTTTCTGCATCTCTTTCCATCGTACGACGCAGCATCAGGGGCGACTTCCCCGGACCGACCCCAGTTAGTTCCATGTTTTAAATGCACAACCCTTTGCCCCAACTCCCCATCTCTTCACCCACCCCCCCCCCCCCCACTCCCTCCCACCCCCATCCCTTCCAGCCCTGGGTCCATCCACACATACCCTTGGAAATGCAGCGTTTGCTCGTGTGTATTTGGTTCACCAGATCCTCAATAAGAAAGAAATAAGATGTGTTTTCCTCCTTCTTTTGTTTTGTGGTGGTGGGGGGGTGGGGGGGGAGGGGAGAGTTTACAAAATCCAACTGGTCACACATTTTACCCATTCCTGTGTGTGGCCAAAGATTCGGTTGAAAGAGAGAGAGAGACGAGATAGATAGACAGAGAGAGAGAAAGAGAGAGTGATGTTTTTTTTTTGCTCCCCATTGATGCTGTCCTCGACACCCTTCCTCCCCCTCGGCTTAAACTCATTCGTTATTCACGAATTTGTAAGTAGGAATAATCATTGTAGGGGAAACAGTTTGCAATAACCGCTCCGGTCCTGATGGTGGATGGATCAGGAAAAAAAAAACCGGTCAATTTCGCATTGTAACATCAATTAACTTGACTCATTAAATACATGTGTCTTTTTTTTGGTGGGGGGGGGGTGTTCTGCACCTGTTTAAGCGCTCGCAGCCTGTTTTTTCTCGGGATGCAGTGTTCCTGATGCAGAATGTGGATGGGAATAAAAAAAAAAGAACCTGTTTTATTTTCTCGTCGAGCCTTTTTTTTTTGCGCGCGAGAACATTTGCGGTTTGTTTGCTTGTTTGTTCGTTTGTTTTGCTTATTTATTTTATTTTATTAAAAAAAAATCGAGGCAGGATTAAAGAAAGCGCAGCAGGACGATAGACAACCTGGGGAAAAAAGTGACAGCCAGAATAATTGCCGGCAAATTCATACGGCATTTCTTTCGACCCATCGCCTGGCAAATAATATTGCGATGGAATATTCCGCGCCCCCGTCGATGGAATACGCCCTCGATATTCACAATCATCCCACGGGGCCGATAGTGAAAGATTTTTTTAAAAAAAATACAATTCTGACTGTTTAAAAATCATTTTAACCTGAACTGGGTGGGGGTGGGGGCTGGGTTTCACGCTATTATTTATTACTTTCGTTCCTTGCAGATTGTTAGCCGTGCGGAAGCCACTCGTAGCCACGGGATCGCAGTTTGGCCCTGAAAAAAAGGACAGGACGACTTGCTGACAGGCTCTGCATTTCAAGCAGCGGCTTGAGCTGCCCGACGGTTCAGTTTTCGGCAGCGCTGGGAAGGAGACAGGCAGGCAGCGCAGGAAAGCCATGAATGATGGCTCAGAGTGTCTGTTCTATCGCATGATGGCCTGAAGCTGAGGACCTGCGCTGGGAATCTGTCACGGAGAGCGGTTTTTGGCATTTTAATGGGATTACTGGAGGGGAATGCACACCAGCGAAACTTGGGAAAGCCACCGAATTGGATCTGCGCAGGGTTTAGTCCTTTATTTTTATTTATTATTATTTTTTTTACACAGAGAACCATCTTAGGTACAGTGCGCTCGCTTATCAGAAGTGGCGACGACAACAGCAACAAAAGAAAATATCCCTAACTGTGCAGTCTGTGGGCTAAGTATGTTCCATGGTGGATGTGGGATTCTGATACCATCGCTGCTGATCGCTGGTCACACCAATTCCCCGCTCTGACAAGAAAATCTGCCATCAGATACCTCGTTGTTGGATGTCTGCTTCATTAGCTTCGTTTTAATTGTCGGAGCCAAAAGGGATACACTTAACGTCTTTGCGACGACTCTTGACAGAACAACGCATCTCAAGAGCCTTCCTTTTTTTATTTATATATATATAAGATATATATAATAATAATTCGCTTGCAATCCACCTAACCCTCTTCGCAACAGCTTCTTCCAGCCGCAACGATGGCCGCCGTCAGCAAGAAGAAAGGCCATTTGCTTTGGTTAGGCCTACTTTTGGTTTGTCTCGTCAACCTTGGGGTCAGCCTCGAATTCAGCGGCGCCGCGGGACAATGGGCGAGGTTCCCAAAGTGGAACGCCTGCTGCGAGAGCGAGATGAGCTTCAGCATGAAGACCAACATCTCCAGCGGGCTGCTGGTCTACTTCGACGACGAGGGCTTCTGCGACTTCCTGGAGCTGCTGATCGTGGACGGGTGCCTTCAGCTTCGCTTTTCGATCTTCTGCGCCGAGCCCGCCGTCCTCCTCTCCAGCGTTCAAGTGAACGACAGCAACTTGCACGCGGTCCACATCGTCAGGGACTTCAAGGAGACGACGCTCATCGTGGACAAGGTGGTCGAAACGGTCGAGGTCAAGTCGAAGAGGCGAGACATGACGGTCTTCAGCAACTTGTACGTGGGAGGAATCCCACCGGAGTTGCACTCGTCGGTGCTCTCGCTGACGTCGAGTTCGGTCGGGACTCGAGAGCCTTTCCGAGGATTGATAACTGACCTCAAGGTTGCAGATGTGACTGCAGCGCTCATTGACAGTCACGGAGTCAAGATCGACGCCAACTATCTTTGCTCAAATCACAGTAGATGCCTGAACGGCGGAACCTGCTCTGTGCTCGACGAGAAAGCAATTTGTGATTGTTCTCACACAGGCTTTCAAGGGGAAGACTGCAGCGAAGGTAAGGCAACTGCACAGCCGTGTTGCTACCCATTTGCTTCCGTCGTTCTTGAAACTTATTAGCGGGTTTGAAATCTTCTATTGCGAGATTAAAACACAGGGAAATATTCTTCATATCGGATGTACTGCATTTATCTTCCTTTGCTCACCGACATCTTCCAATATAAATTGATTTTTTTTTCTTTAACTTGCTTTACTTCTAGGTCATGTGAGTGACACTTTGAACTCTTTTTTGCTTTATACGCCGTATCACCAGACACGCACACACACACGCGCGCGCACGCACACACACACACGCGCACAAAAGAAATATTCCATAAAGCATCCTTTTTTTTTCATAGAAAGTTTCTAAAAGTCTGACTCGAAAGCGAACCAGGATAATAAACTATGGAGAAATTATACGAATGATTGATTATCACGCAAATTAAATCTGATGGTAACTGATTTTGATTGCTACTTTTTCATTATTCAAAATATATCCAGTGTATATCCAGGTCCACTTGCAAATCTTAAAATCCAGTTTAAATAGTGATGGGTAGCAGGAATCTCTCTCTCTCTCTCTCTCTCGCTGTCTCTCTCTCTCGCTCTCTTTCTCTGTATATATGTTTTGTGATCACATTTGTTTGGTCACACTATAATAAGACGAAAACTGATAGCATAAAACTGCAGAGCGGTTCATCATAGATAGCTCAGATGATGCTCAGCAAAACATTTTGGAGCATTTGATGGAATCCCTTTCTGGACTCGGGGGTATTTTCATAACCAATGGTACAACTGCCGGAAGCACCTAGAATGGTGCTTGAAAGTGTTTTAAAGAAAGACCCCCGTTAATAGGCGATTCATTTATCCGCCTTGTTCATCGATAGCTAATATCGTGAGCAGATGAATTTTGCAGTGTGTAAAAAAAAAAGAATGATTTGCGTAGAATGACATTCCTATCGTGTACGCTAACTATCCATCCCTGTGTTTCCTAATGGTAAAGAAATAGCGTGAACAACTAGTCCTTTCCCACGTGGACGGAGGAGCTCAATTGATCTCCTCTGGTTATTCAGCCTTTCGAAGGAAGCACTACATTAATGAGCTTCAACACTAACTTGTGACCGTGTAGAAATAAAATCATACCATCAGATATATAGACCGTCACTTCCGACCAAAGCACAGACAGAATCTAAAATCAATGTCTCGGTGAGATCAACACACGCCATTTTCATATCACTGGCTACAATTTCATGATGTGTGATGTTTTGACGACTTCATTCATTATTAGTGATGTGTTTTTTTTCCCCCCCCCCAAAGAAAACCTTTCGACCAGTGTTTTTTTTAAAACAAAAATGAATGTTTACCTTTTTAAAGATGACGCGTTACGTGTATTAACGGCACGCGGAGCGCAGTATTCCAACACCAATCAAGTCGTTACAAAAAGCTGGACTTGAGAGCAAAATGTTGCTGAATATCCCCACCAATCTCTTTCTCTCTTTCGCTTATGTGTGTGTGTGTGTGTGTGTGTGCGAGTGTGAGTGCGGGGGCCGTTGGGGGGGGGGGGAATGGGGAAGAGTGATGGGGAATGCCGCATCACTTTCTTTGGACATTCTACCATAGCTGTACAACAGAAGATACTTCAAAATACCTGTGTATAACTGTATGGTCTTGACCCCCATCTTTCTCATCACGGTGAGGCAACTCGCCACTAAAATTGTCTTCCAAAATGCAATGCATGTTGTCCTGCACTCGAGTGCAAAGACCCAACAGAAAGATCAAGTCTTAGGAACGAACGGCCTGTTAAAAGGCCGTTGTGAGCGAAATATCCCACCTGATGATTATGAACTTTTCAGTTCGTTTCTTTCGATGACTGGAACTAAATTCGACCTTTCTTTTTTTTCTCTTTCTTTGGAGCACTGCAATAAATCTCCGAAGCTCGTTTTCATACACTGTTTGAAGGACAAAATCGCCTAAGTTTCCCCCCACCCCCCTCCACCCCACCAAAAAAAAAAGAATTATCCGGTAATTGGCGCAAAAAAACGGCTGAATTTATTCAAAACTGTGATGTGCAATAATCCTAAATTTAAACCATAAATCCAATGAAAGTACAGTATATACAGATTAGAACCTCGTGGAACCATCTTGAGTTATTTTGAAAGTATTCTGTTATTGACGTGGAGCAAGAAATGTTTTGTGAGCCTGGAGTGTGGCGCTTTGGTGATGTGCTCCTAAAGTCTGGCTGTGTGGATAGCCGTTCGGTCCGAACTTTTGCCTTTCTTTTGGTCAGGGGAATTGACGTCCAAGCAAATAGAAAGCAGAAGTTGTCAGTTGCGTCGATAACATGGAGGATTTCAATCTTCACCTGTAGCGTGCAACTGAGATATGGGTCGCGAGCCTATATAAATGCAAGTTGCTGTTGGCGGTGTTGGCGTTGGGCTTGCAGATCTTGTTCAGGAAACGAGCTGGACTATCTGAATGAAATAAGTTGTTTTTTTTTGGTTTTCCCCCATGTTTTAGTCAGGCAGGGTTAAGTTCAGCAGATGGTGGCTTGTGGTCAATGTATTTGCTTCTTTCGGGGAGGATTGTAACCCGTTTTAGGTTCCAAACAATTCAGGCTTGAATTGTTTGTTTGATTAGTTGGACAAAATGACCCACTTACCAAAGGAAAACTGATCTTTCCCCCCACCCCCCACCCCCACCACCACCCCCGATCTCACTGACGTCATTTACGGCGATGGTTGACGTGTTGAACTTGCAGTACGAGACTATTTGGTTTCATCAGGGTTCCCAGGTTGTGGCATTAACCCTTCCTACGCTGCGCTGGTGGCCTGCGACGCCGGGCGTATTTCTTCCATCCGGTGTCGGATTTTCTCATTCGGTTGCTGGAGACTGAATTGTCAGTTTGTGCCACGTGAACATCATCCAGTTATTTGGCAGTACGACAGAAGGCGAAGCGGCATTAATTAGTTTCACGTTCAATGCCTTCTCGTGTCTGAGCTGCGGAGCTGCTGCCCGCCTCTCTGTTCCTTGCTTGCCAGAGGTAATTGTGAGGCGAGATGAATTTATTGGAAATTTATTGCGTAGCTGGTCTGTTGGTTGTGGTGCATAGTACAAATGGGGTGTGAGCAGCGCTATTAGCCACTAGTGATGTGCGCACTATTAATAGGACGACTCCCAGAGGATCTCTGTGCTCTTGGTGTAAATTAGCTGGCCAGCATGAATTTATAACGTTCCCTAAAGCAGAGAAGATACGCGAGTAAAATTGAATGGTTCTATTAAACCACATGTGGTAACGAGAATAAAATAATTCTATTTTTTTAAAAAAAAAAGTAGCACCAAGTGCGAAATGAAGGTTAGCATTTAAACTGTTATTTTTATTTCAGTGAACCAGGAGCGTTCAGTGAATTGATCTGAGGGCTTCTGCTAATGTATTTTTGTTTGACAGATAATACGGAACGGATTATACAGTTGTAGATTTTACTTGATAAAATTGATTTATTTGCCAGAAACAATTACTGAATTATCCATTAGTTGCTCAAGACATATCCGGATTCCTTGGCACCTTACAAATTTATAGCTTATTAGAAAATATGATGAAAGGATTGGACGTCTTAAGACTTGAAACAAAATCTTGAAATGTAAGCCACAATGTGCAATCCATGTTAACGGAGCCTGTTTAATACATGCCCGACATTTGATGATACCGGAAAAGTCACGTGAATTGCTGAGGGGAGTCAAATGAGCTCATAAATGATGGCCGTGCAACTTGTCTGGTTTGCATTCTTCGATTATACGTTTGCCAGTCTTCTGAAAGACGTGGAAGAAAAAAATCTTGTTACCCGATCAATCTTCGTGTTACTCAAACATCGGGACACAAGCAAATTGAAATTCTCATGCAGTGGATCTTGCTGTTCAACCTACCAGTGAAATGACTGGTGGCATAGCGTTGATGTTTGATAAAGCAATATTCTGTGTGTTTATCTGGCCTTAAGCAAGTCAAATGGCTGCTCGTGTGGAATTGCAAGGATGTGTATTTATTGGAACAGAAGGATATTTCCTGAATTGTGGGAAGAGGCGAAGCTATCAAACACAAAGTTCAGACGCGGCATAAATTGGAGGAGATTCTCCAAAGATTTGTAAATCTACAGATCTTAGCAGCGTGAGCTTATAATGAGGCCAGTTCCGTTATCCCTCCAAAACAAAACAATAATAAATTGGTCACTTTCAATCCGCGGCTGTTTGTGGGACAGTCGCTGCTGTGCGCAATTGGCTGCCGCGTTTCGCCCACAAATATACGGTCAATTCACTTTACAGCATATTCTGTGAAGCGCTTTGAGACGTCGAGAAGACACGAAAAGGGCTATATCAGATGCAAGGATTATTATTATTATTATTATTCTGTCCTCACACCTCACCACCAAGATCTACAAAATGTATAGTTTCGGGGGAAATCACCATTCGAATAACCCAGTAATTATTGCTGGCTTATAAATTTCAAATCACAAGTGCTTGCTTTTGCATATTCGAAAAAAGCATTGAAATATCGGATAATACTCTTGAATGCAATGGATTTATTGGGTCTTTTTGAGGGTTTTTTTCAAATAAAAATGAATGGACCGTGGATCAAATTTTGATCAAAAAAAGGCAAAATAATGATGTGAATGGGAAATGATTGTCACAAGGCTTAAGTGGCACATTGGGTTTTGTGTGTGCGTCCAATGTAAACTAAACGTGGCTAATAATCCCTTCAAAATAGTAATAATAATCATTTGGTCACTCAATCCACGACCGTTTGTGGAATACTGCTGTGCGCATTTCCCAAACAAAATATGCGGTCAATTCACTTTGCAATATACTCTGTGTACCAATGCGATAAGGTTCTACATCGAATGCGAGGATTATTATTATTAAATAAAGTTCAAGAACTGTCGTTCGACATGAGCGACAAAGATATATCTTGCTGCTGGCATGCGATGGTGTAGCTGAATATCCTTTGAGTGGGTAATCTGCACAGAAGACATT